GCTGGGATGTGGCCCAGTGGTAGAGTCCCTGCCTAGAATCCCCCAGTGAGGGGCTGGGGTGTGGCCCAGTGGTAGAGCCCCTGCCTAGAATCCCCCAATGAGGGGCTGGGGTGTGGCTCAGTGGTTGGGTACCTGCCCAGAATCCCCCAGTGAGGCACTAGGAGTGTACCTCAGTGGTTGAGTACTTTCCTAGCTTACACAAGGTCCGATTTCCAGCTCTAAACCCATAATTTATTTTTAATTTTTGTTTCGCCTATATACACACCTGGAAGTTCTGATCTAAATCCTATGCAGCAACAGTTTCACTGAGAGTTCACAATCTTCCCTAAGCGGCTTGCTTGGTGGTCTTTCATGGTTCCTCTGGCTGTGCGACCCCATGTCTGCTATTTCTGCTAAAAGCCTGGGCTCATGAGTGCCAAGGTCTGCCTTGCCCAGAGCATGGCGCCCTGTAGGTGCTCTGGTCTCAGGAGAATTGCTTACTCTCAGGTGGAAGGATGTAGTGTTCTGGAGTCCAGGCCTCTGGGCCTCCTGGCCACCTGCTTTTCACGCCTCAGCGAGGCTGTTGACATCCACATCTCGTGGTCAATGGATCATGAAGTAGCTTCATATCAGCAGCTGGGCTTGGGCACAGGATAAACAGGTACCTGGTGGTTGCCAGGAAGCCTGATCCTGACCTCCTCAGCCTCAGGGCTGCCTTCTGCTCCTTAGAGAAGACCTTGACCTAGGAGATCTTTGGAGACTCCAGGCTTAACTGACAGCTTCATGAGATTGGTTCTGTGTTATAATTCTTGCACCCTAACAATGGCCTCTGCCAGATGTGGGTTTCTTTAATTGTTGCTTCTGTTTTGTTTTGAGATGAGGTCTCAAGCAGCCCATGCTTGTCTCAGACTTGCTTTGCAGTGGAGGATGACCTTGAACTTCTGACCTTACTCACCCTACCTCCTCTGTGCTAAGATAGGAGGGAGACATCCCCCCCACCAACCTACGCAGAATTGGGCATAGAACCTAGCAATTTATGCATAGGAGCAAGCACTCTACCTACTGAGCCAAATTTCCACACACACACTCCAATTGCAAATTTAAATTCAACAAATGCTTGTCATACATATGAATGAATGGGTTAGAGTTTGCTGGAATTCACTGTGAGTATAAGAGCCTCTAAAGCTTGCTTTCATTCATTTAAAGTTTTTTTTATTTAAATATAAGAAAAGTAAAAAATGAGAACACCAGAGAAATGGCCTTGAAAAAAACAAGCATTCTTAATTGCTGAGATACATCTCCAGTTCTCCCCTCAAATATTTACTTTACATTTATCTCTCTCTCTCTCTCTCTCTCTCTCTCTCTGTGTGTGTGTGTGTGTGTGTGTGTGTGTGTGTGTGTGTGTGTGTGT